TGTTAACCAGTTGGATGAAAGTATTTCAAATTGTATACAGAAACAGTACACTGTACCCCATGATAGTATTAATGTACACTGCTATGATTTAATAATTAAAAAAAGAAAAAAAAACTAGAATATTTTGACTGTAAATTTTGAGAATTACAAAATAATTCAATCTAGTCATTGGAAAATGATCAAAGAACTATGGACAGTTAGCCTGGAAAAAGGAAGCCTTCACGGAAGCTAAAAGAGGTATCTTCAGTACATGAAGCACTAACAAATATGAAAATGATTGCAGAGTTAGAGAATCAGAGTCAGTGATTAGAAGTGAATGAAGACAGATGTTGGCCTGGCATGACATGGTCAAATCTTTCACGGATGGAGTAGGCTTCCTGGAAAGCTATTTCTTTTCACTAGCATTTGTGAGCGTCCAACCAGAAGCTGAACAGACACCTGAAAATGCACAAAAGACACAAGTGATTGGACCACGTGACTCTTAAGGCCATTTCCAACCCTGAGGTTCTTTTTCTGTCATTCTGTGAAATGTAAAGATGAGCTAAGCTTCTAGGTTTAACCAAATGTAGAAACAAGGTATTACATCTTGGGCTTCTAATACTGCCAACACTGGTATCAGCCAAATTGGAAAAAAACAACAAGGTGAACAAAATAACATGTTATTTCAAAAAAATCTCTTGCCGCCTAATGAAATGATTGGTGTTTTGTCCTCACCCCTCTTCTCAGTGCTTTCTCCTGCTCAAGATGGCCACGTGAACATGGATCTTCCCCCAGTGTCAGAGCAGATCATGCAGACCCTGGGAGAACTTGCCAAATCGTTCCAGGACATGGCTGACCGCTGCTTGCTGGTCTTACATCTGGAAGTGAGGTATGACATGCCAAAGCACAGGACTCTGTGATTCATAAATCATGTACTTACTTCTGGGGAGGATCACCATAATTTTTGTCCTTATTATGTTGTCCTTTTTTTTTTTTTTTACACTGAAAGTGATTTTTAGCCTCATTTAGTTACTCTTCAAGTATTTGAACACATGCTATATTGTGAGTGGGGTGATTCAGAGTCGGCATGGCCCATGAAATCAAAATGACCTAGATTTGGGCTCGGCACCTGTGGCTCAACCGGCTGGGGCGCCAGCCATGTACACCTAGGGTGGCGGGTTCGACTCCCCAGCCCGGGCCCGCCAAACAACAATGATGGCTGCAACCAAAAAATGGCCAGGCGTTGTGGCGGGCGCCTGTGGTCCCAGCTACTTGGGAGGCTGAGGCAGGAGACTCGCTTGAGCCCAGGAGTTGGAGGTTGCTGTGAGCTGTGATGCCATGGCACTCTGCCCAGGAGGACAGCTTGAGGCTCTGTCTCAAAAAAAAAAAAAAATGACCTGGATTTGAATGCCTATACCAACTGGCTGGGTGATCTTAGGTCAGTCAGTTAGCTTTACAAACCCTCAGATTCCTCATCTTCAAAATAGAAGTGGTGATTTCTTGTATAAAGTATAAAGATCTTATAAAGGAAATAAAAAATAATTAGCACAATGTCAGCCAAACAGTAATGGCTCAAAATATGGTAGCTTTGCAATTATGATGACTTTTTTGTTGTTGGTATTTTTACTAAGGTCCTCTGCTAGTCAAGAAGATAGTATACAAATCTAAGAATCATGATTCCTGCAAGGAACTTAAAACCCAAATGGAGAGATTAAGTAATAATTCCAGAGGTGATTTCAAAAGTACCATATTCTTGGATCCTTCTTCCCTCTCTTATAGAAATGTTCTGATTAGCTTTAAAAGCCTCTATTATTGTACACGTGGAAACAGATAGAAGAAAGGACTAAGAAGTCTTCGTGTGTTCATTCATTCATTTATTCATTCAACAAATATGCATCAAGTACCTTTTATGTGCTATATAGTATTCTAAAAATCAGGTTCCAGCAATGAAAAGAAAAATCCCAGGTCCTTGCTCTCAGGGAACTACATTCTACTGGAGGGAAACAGCCAATGCGTAAACAAAAAAGATAATGTTAGATAAGTTTGACTAAAATAATAAAATATAATAATCAAATCAAGCAGTGATACTTAATAGGAGCTAAGGTGAACTATAAATGCAAGCCACAGGTAATTTTAAATTTTCTAATACATTTGGAAAAGTAGAGGGAAACAGGTGAAATGAATTATAATAATACATTTTAGTTCACCCAGTATACCTAAAATGTTATCATTTTAACATTTATGTAATGTAAAAATGATTAATGAGATGTTTTGTATTTTTTGCCCTAAGCCTCTGAAATCTGAATAGTTTGTACTTATACTTTACATCACAATTTGGACTGGTCACATTTCAAATGCTCAGCAGCCGTGTGGCCAGTCGTGTCATCCTGGACAGTGCTGAGACTGGCTGGGGTTGAGTTGCCCAAGAAGGGGATCAGGATTGTAACCAAGTAATAAGAAGGAGCCATCTCCACAAACATCTAGAGGAAGAGAGTTTCACACAGAGGAGGCAACACTCATAAAGATCCTGAAACAAAATCAAGCTCGGCGGGTTTTAAGGAGCAGAGAGGAGCCCGGTGGGGTTGCATCCTGATGAACAAGATGGTGGGGAAAACTGGAGGAATAAGGTCCTGGAGACAGGCTTGAGTCTGATCCTGTAGGGTCATGAAGCCAGATACAGTGCAGGGTCCTACAGACCACACCGTTCAGGTGCAATAAATCTCAGGGCATTAAGAATCCATAGGAGGGTTTTAAGCAGGGGAGAAATGCTAATTAATTAACTTCCTTAAAAGATCACTCTGGCTATCAGATACAAAAGGAATTGCAGGGAGAACTGTGAATAGAAACAGGGGTGACCAGTTGAGACTATTTGTGAGCACCAGGGTGGCAGAGGTGGGTGTGTGAAGAGTGTTGGATTTGGGACATGTACTGAAGGCCGAGCTGCTAAATTTTGTTGATAGGGTGGATTGGGCACAGGGGCTGGTGGCAGTGAGAGAAAGAAAGGACTCAAGGAAAACCAGCGGTTGGAGGGCTAGAGCAACTGTGTCAACGGTGAGGGGCATTAACGGAAAGATTGGGGTGGAGAGTATAAACTAAGAATTTCATTTTAGAGATGGACCACTGGAGATGTTTATTTAACTTTCAGATAGTCATGTCAAACAGACAGTAAACTTTCAAAACGTCAGGATCAGAGAGTGTATGGCGTGGTAATGCATTGTGTTCTGTATTACTTTGGAACACTATTAAAGTTGGTAAAATATTTTCATTTGCAGCCTTTACTCAATTTAGGCTTTAATGATGTAAGTACATCTTTGCTCTTGGAGTATGTCTGGACTCCATCTAGAACTTGGGTTTCTGCCAGGGATGTTCATGTCACGCCTGTTGTGTGTCACGTGCTGTTTTCACTCTTCATTACCTTGTCCAGGAAGGAACCTCTTTATTCTTCGTGGGCTCCTTGTGAATGGAATGGGAGAAGTGGCATTACACCTTTGGGATCGATTTACTTAGTGTTATTTCTGATCTTATGTCTTACATTAAGCTGTCCAGAAACAAGGTCTCTTTCTGTATGTGTTCTGATTTGTTTTGCGATATTTTTTAGATATATTTTCTATTTATTTACAAGCAGACAGTGAAATAAATCAGGGGTTTTCTATGAATAGATAAACCCAATGGGAAGACGAAAGTGCAAAACACCCAGTAATGTTCTGATGCTTCTGTTACTTGAGTTGCCAAGAAAAACAAGGGAACACCAATTTAATTACTATCACAACTGCTAGAATTTATACTATTGATTGTGTGGTTACATGATGGATTATACATTCAGAACTGTCTACTCGGAATGTAGTTAATCCCAAACGGGCTATTTGCAACACATTTGAGAAAGGTCTTTTAAATCCTTACCCCTTATTCTGCTCTTTTTGTTTTTGTACATGTTGGCGATACTATTCCTAATAAAGCTGAACATGTTTTAGTCATTATTTATTAATTTTACAAGAAACCATACAGCGCTATAGCACCCATTGCTATGTCTCCTCCAATAATAGTTGAAAAACAGAAAAAGGTAATTTTAAGAATGAATAACCGAAAGAGACTGGATTTTAGAGTCCTAGGTGCAGAATTATCTTTCCTGGACTTCTACTAGGATACATGGGGTTTTTTAAATTTTCTTTTTCTAAATTAAATTTTCTCCCCCTTACTAACATATTTGCAGCATGGACACTGCTCTCTTATTAGTGTGTACCATTTTGTTTTTGTTCCTTTTAAACAATGGTACACGAAACCAACAGAATAGTCATGTATGGCTCAGACAGTGAATGTGGGCACACTTGTCTGTCCCTGTCACATTATCAACCTTTTTTTTTCTGTGGTTTGTACATTCTTATTCATTTCGTTCATGTGAAATGAATAAGACAAGTCTCACGCAAATCAGGACACTGTAGTGTAACCCACTAGAATAGAGGCAACTGCTCAGTGCTCTGGGTACCCGGGGTGCCAGGCTGTGGAAGAAACCATCAGCCTTTCCAGGTACACTTTGTTCACTGTTTCACCTCTGAACCTGAAGCGGTCCTGTTACATTTTAGGTGCTCACCAGAAACTTGATTCTTAAGAATTTGGTTTGAAACCAAACCCAAATCAAATAAGTGCTATTTCCCCAAACAAAGCCTATTGCTCTTTAAACAAAATGAATTAGTTTTTAGATTCTATGTTCACAAAGTAGTCTACTTGTCAGCCCACTGCATGTATCTAAGAAGTACAAAAACCATGGCCAGCGTCATCTTTGTCATCATAATCAACTGACATTTATTTCATTCCCATCTTGCTGTGAAAGAGAATTAGAACGCAGGCCCCATGGTCCAGGAGCTGATGTCATGAAGAGGCATCTGGGTAGCTATTGTCTCTAGTACTTTTAGCTGAGAGAGCACAGTTAGAACAGGAAAAGAAAATCACGGATACCAATTAATGGGATAAGCTACTAAAATGCCCAGAATAACTTCAAATGCCAAAAATATATTTTATTTCCAAAAATATCTTCATATCCACAACTTACATTTTTCTTTCATGTTGTTAAAGTTCAAACCAAAAAATCTTCTCAAATGTAGCAGATTCTGTGCTGAAGGACCCATCCAAAGAGCATTAGACATTTTACCCATGTTACTGTAGTCATATTTAACCACCCAGCAGCTCCTTTCCACAGTTTGAAGCATAAGGCAAATGATCCCCCCAAGAGATGAAAGATGTGGTGAAACCATTAAAACTTGTTGAGGTTTTTTCCTATTTGATCTTTAGAAGAAGAAAAGTAAGTTGCCATTGGAATCCAAGATGCCAAGAATGTCACCTTTATCAGCTGATTCTTGTCACCACCAGGAGGGCTCTATGTGGGTTCAGCAGCAACTGCCTGTCACTGTTGGGATCCTAAGCGTACACTTTCTGAAAATCAACCATCCTGCTGTGTAATCAACAGTGTTTACAGAAAGCCTTAAATGCCAAAGTCAGGTTAAGGTCAGCGGCAAAATGCCAGAATTTAAAAGAAAAAAAAAAACTTTATTCAAATTTGACAGTCAGTGATTACTATTTTAATTTCTTTTTTATCTCCAATCCCTTGCTAAGAAGAAGACAGTATCTTAGACAGTGGTGATCTCTCCTCTCTGCCAATAGCGTCAGAATCTTATAATGCCTCATCTCCAATTCACAAGAATTTCCTGACTAGTCTCTCTACTTCCATTCTCTTATCCTTAATCCATTCATACTGTGCCAGAGTGAACTTGCCAAAGCTCTGACCTGATTATATCATTTACCTCTTAAAACGTTCCTGAGGCTACCTATGGCTCCTAGAATAAATAAAGTCCAGACCTTCTAGATGGCCTCCAACGTCTAAGGTAACCTGGCCCCAGCCCATCTCCCCAGTTTCACCCCATGCCTCTGTTGTGACTTGTGTATAGAAAGGAGCCATTCGGGATTTCACAGAACCATCCTTCATTCTCAGCCTCGTGCCTTGTTACAAGCTTTCCCCATTGTCTGGGATCATACTGTCTGTAATTTAATTTAAAAAATACTTTAGTGTAGATGCTAAATTTTTATATCTAACTAAGCGTGATTTAGATTAAATTTCAACCACAGTAGCCATCAGTTGCCCTAGTCAGGAATCCTACCCCAGGGTTCATCACCTACTACAACCACTGCCAGCAGAATTTAGACTGAAACTTACTTTCATTCCAGCTTATAAAAGCTGTGAAGGAGTAGTCATGCCTTACCTACCTCAGACGTCCTCAGTAGCTGCTAATATGTGCTAGAAAGAACTGGTATCCGGATCAAAACTGTGCATGTTATCAATCAGTACGTGAATGTCAGAAAGAGTTTTTATTTCTTATATTAGTCATTAGTTAACATCTGTTAGGATGAGAACCTATCAGTGAAAATGAACAATAATAATATTTGGATTCTCTTGCAGGAATAGTTGATAAGAATATAACACATCCTATTAAAAAATTTCGCTCCAAATGGATCATGGAACTAAATGTAAAACTTAAAACTCTAAACTTTCTAGAAAAAATATAGGAAGAAAACATTGGTGACCTTGTTTAGGTAAAGATGTCTTAACATGGCACCCAAAGCACCACTCATAAAAGAAAAAAATAAGTTGAAACTCATTAAAATTAAAATCCATTCTTTCCAAAGACATTGCTGCAATGAAAACACATGCCACAGGGAGGGAGAAAATAATTTGCAAGATGCATATCTGACAAAAGACTTATATCCAGGTATATAAAGAACTCTTGATACTTAATAATAAGAAAACAACCCAATTTTAAAAATTAGGCAAATGATACGAAGTGTACTTTACTAAAGATATGTAGATAGAAAATGAGCAATGAAATATGCTCAACGTTAATAGTCAGTAGGAAAATACAAAGTAAAGATGCAGTGAGATGACACTACACGTCTATTAAAATGACCAAAGAAAAAATTTTTTTAACTGACAACACCAAGTGCCTGTAAGGACGCCAAGCAGCTGGAACTCTTGTACATTGCCGGTAGGAAAGCAAAATGGCAGAGCTTCTCGGGGAAATGGTTTGGTAGTTTCTCATAAAATTGCACATACACTGACTATATGATCCAGCAACCTGACTTCTAGGAATTTTCCCCAGAGAAATGAACATTTCTATGCCTATTTATAGAAAAACCTGTATGCTCATAGATGAAGTAGCTGTATTCATAGCCACCCAAAACTAGAGGCAACCTAAATGTCACCTGGTGAATGGATAAACTGGTATATCCATTCAGTGGGACGCTGGTCAGCAATGAAAAGGAGTGAATGGAACATAGGTCAATCTTAAGTGCTTTGTGCAAAACAAAAGAACCAAACCCAAAAGGTTGCATACTGAATTGCTCCATCTATATCTCCTTTTGGAAACAAAAAAAAAAAAAACTATAGGGATAGAAAATAAATCAGTAGTCGCTGAAGGCCTAGGGGTGAGCAGGGATTGACTGCAGAGGGGCACAAGGAATTTTGGAGGTGATAGTCATGTCCTGTAATTTGGTGGTGGTTGTTCAAGTGTGGTGTGTTTGTCAAAGCTCAGAACTGTACACTGAAATGGAGGGTTTTACTGTTTGTAAATTATTTCTCAGTAAGCCTGACTTTTGAAAAGGAAAGATGACAAGCAAAGTCTGTGGTTGCATCATTAGGGATGGTGCCCAAGGCTTTTGTAGCCATTTGTGTAGGAGTATTTCTTGTTCCTGATGCCAGCGATGGGGATTACAGAAGCCTGACTCTGGATTATCATCCTCTCAACCCACAGAGACCCTTCCATGCAAAATTAGACATGGCACCTGAAAAGACAGAGAGTTAGGACTGTACTGAGCTTACAGCTCAGTGTGTTTGAACTGTGCCTGCCAATGAATGGCAGTTTTTTATTTATTTGTATTTTGAGTTCCCCCCACTCACTCAAAGTAAATCCCTGTATGAGTGGCAGAATTTGGGCTGAAACTTACTTTCATTCCAACTTTAAAAAGCTCTGGAGGTGTAGCCATTCCTTACTTCCCTCAGACTTCTTCAGCAGCTACTGATATGTGCTAGAAAAAACCCAAGGCCATTTGAACACAGAAATGCCCTCTTTCCTCAGGCTCACTCAGATGCCTTCTGTGAGACTCAAGTGTCACCTCCTGTCATGGACTTTTTCTGATACTCTATGGCAGATTCCATGGCATCCTGTATAGATGCGCTCAGAGTGACACCAGGTCTCTTTTAGTTGTTTTTTCTTGATCTGCCCCACTAGGCTATGACACCTTTAAGGGTACAAACTGTTTTCTATTCCCAGGGCCTACCGTTGTTTGTAACAAATGCATAGATTTTCAGAAAGTGATTTATTTAACTAATAAATGTAATAATAATAAGTCTAGTAATGACAGCCAACACTTACCCTGCACTCAGTCTGTGCCCCTACATACGTAGTTGTTCCTCACAGCCCCTCATGATGTCAGTGTTATTATCACCCACATTTCACAGGGAAGGAGACTGAGGCACAGAGAGATTAAGTAACTTGCCTAAAGTCATACAGCTAGTAAATGCTGGCACTGGGAATCGAAGCCAGAGTAGTGTCTCTGTTAATCTATTCCTGGGTTGGTGGGCATAGAATACTATTCAACCATTTAAAAAAAAATGGAGACTTTACAGCCTTTGTATTAACCGGGATGGAAGTGGAACACGTTATTCTTAGTAAAGCATCACAAGAATGGAGAAGATGAATCCTATGTACTCAATTTTGATATGAGGACAATTAATGACATGGTGGGTGTGGGGGAAGGGGAGAGCAGAGAGAGAAAGAAGGAGGGAGGGGCAGAGAGAGGGAAGGAGGGAGGGGGGTGGGGTCTTGGTGTGTGCCACACACTTTGGGGGCAAGACATGATTGTAAGACGGACTTTACCTAACAAATGCAATCAGTGTAACCTGGTTTCTGTACCCTCAATGAGTCCCCAACAATAAAAATAAAATAAAATAAAAACCTACCCTTTTAAGATCTGTAAACTCTGCCTCTCATTTCCGTTATGATAGCATGTGTTTTAGGGTACATGTGTAATGCTTTTCATACTTTGTGTGCAATCCTGGCATTCACAAGCATTTTAGAACTCCTCAGCAACACTATATGGATTAAACAACCAAAAATCATAGAAGCCAACTTGTTCCAGATCACTCAAGTGTTCTATAGAGGAACTAAAACGCCATTCTGGTTAAAAAGGTGGGAAGTAGTTTACATAAACGGTTACAAGTTCTCTGTCCCAAGATGAACATTATCCTCACTGGAAAGATCTATTATTAACTGCTCTCCCCATCTCTCTCTTTTTCAGGGTTCACTGTTTCCACTATCTCATCCCTCTTGCCAAGGAGGGAAACTATGCCATTGTTGCTAATGTGGAAAGTATGGATTATGACCCTCTCGTGGTTAAGCTTAACAAAGATATCAGCGCCATTGAAGAAGCCATGAGCGCCAGCCTTCAGCAGCACAAGTTCCAATATATTTTCGAAGGTCAGACCCCCTGTCTCTGGGGCTTTAAAAGGAAGGGAGGGTGGAGGTTCTCCTGAGACTCTATATTGTTGAAGTTTAAAACTTGTAGAAAAAGTTGTGTGTTGGCTTGTTTGTTTGAACTAAGTCTGCAATACCTGGCCTCTCTGTGTATGACTAGGTAGACAACAATATGGCTGCCATCTGCTCCTGGTTGATAAGGAGATTTAATCCAAGATAAGGCAGATGGCTGCCTCCCTGACATGCCACTCATGAGATTTGAGCGAATATGTAGAGTGGGCCGTAAATTAACTCAAGAGGCACTTATAAAAGAAAAAGAAAACACACAGACACAAGGAGGAGAGAATCCTGAAAGACCCCTTATTGGCTAAAATTATCACTGGAATGGGAAGTTTTCTCACAGAGTACATTATCATCAGAAGGAACAGAAGTGTCCCATTAGGAGAGATGTTTGAGAAGGCCGCATCCATAGACGTCTGCAGGGGCGGGCAGGCAAGGAAGGGGATGAGAGACAACAAGTACCGTCTAAAGACATTTATCTTCTCAATTTTCAAAAATGTGCTGCCAGCCGAATATTTTTCTTGACAAATTTCACCCACAGGCCCCCTGTTAGGATTTCAAATTATATTCCCTTTTTATTTGTTTTGGTTTCTTTGTCTGTATACCTAGATGCCAAAAGCATCTCTGTTCTCTCACAGAATAAAACCAGTACTATTTTAAACAATTAGGAAGGTACACTGACCACAGGATTCTGACAATGCGTGACCCCTGATTGATTTATAAAACAGTTATATTCTAACAAATTAGGACACACACACCCCAAATTCTATTTCCCCATTACATTTTAAAGATGGAGGTTCTCTGATGGGGTATATCCCTGAAAGACCTTAGCCAAAAAATGTAAGTGAATAAAGGGTTAGCTATTAGTCAGCCCCATGGCACTGTGAATTTGGGGCCACCTATGGAACACGCTGCATCTTGAAGCTGCAGTGAACATCTGGGGATTCACTTTTCTCTTAATACATCGTTTCCTCTTTGCTCTTGACTGTGGTTCTTCTCAGCCCTGAGTATCACCATTCATATTAGAAAATGTATTTCTTTAATATACTTTTTATCATTTATTATTATTTCTTCTTCTCTACAAACAGTGTACCCCCTTATTGCCTGCACTTTGGGCAGACCGTATCTTACCATAGCAGAAAAAAATTATATCTGAAATTATGGACTCAGAAGAATGATACCAAACTTGACCTTCAGAGATTTATCATGGAAATAAGTTGTCTAGCTTTAAATGTACCATCCAGTGCATTTATAAAAGTATAATCCTTTTTCTTTCCCTTTCACTTAGTAGCACAGGCAAGTTTGTGGTCTTGAGGCAACCTTGGGTCAGTGTAGCTGACGCAGGAGAATACATCCTCCTCCCTTGTTTCTACTTCCTCCTTAATCTAGAGAAAACTCATTTTGAAGACATGGGAAGCCACTGAATTTGAAGACTAGCTCAGCACTTGTATCTGAACCTTTGAGTCCCCCACAAAGGGACTATGACTTCCAAAGAGGAAAAACAACAGGAATAGGAGACTGCTTGGGACAAGTCAGACCAGCTTTAGAATTCCTAGGAAAATGTCCTCCTAGAGTCCAACTTTGCAAGAATACGAAAAAAAAAAAAAAAAAGGAAGACACGTTTACTGAATTGCACTTAGAGTTGAAATTTAACTTTAAAAAATAGCAACCCATATGTGCTTCACGTTGTTCTGCACCAACATTTCTCAACTTAATTACATGGGAGATACTGAAAGGGACTTCTAAGTTTGTTGATGTCCTGAGCTGCCCTTTGCTAAATTTCGTGGACCACAGACAACCCTTCAGATGTAATAACAAACTACTTACAGGAGCCCGGAAGTGTCCATAGGTATCTCACACAAACTCAACAGCCAATGTACCATCTGCCTCCCTCACCCTTTACCTCTGATTACACTGTCTCCAATTGACCACTTTGGAAATATACCCCATTGCCAATGTTGGAGCACGTTAGCATTATTGTCAGTAACCCAGTTTCTTGCTGATCTATTTTTATGTGTCAGTGTTGAAGCATATTAGCATTATTGCCAATGCCTGATTTCTTATTGGTTTATTTTTACTTATGTAGGTTCTCAGTGAACTTTTGAGCCAAAAGTATCCTCCTCTATTTTGTAGGAGGAAGGAGAGGCCAAATAGATCATTGTATGTACATGTGTTCTTCCCTGCTTCCCCCTTGTGTATTCAGGAAAGCAGGAGTTCCCCCACACCGTACTAGTTTATACAACAACCTGGCATGTTCTCTAGGCCCTTTCCATGGTGGCAGTGGGTGTACATGCCCACACCAGATCTGTGGCTGTGTACCCATTTATAACTACTATAGCCACAAATCTGACATTATTGTAAGATCAGCAGGTCTTACATTTCTTTGGTCAATTACATTTATAGAGCATTACAAGATGGCAATTCCGTGCTCAAGTCTCTGCAGGATGCCCCTGATCTGTCTTCTGTTTTCTCCCCACTGCTCTGTGCTGATCCCTCAGGCCTGGGCCACTTGATCTCCTGCATCCTCATCAACGGTGCCCAGTACTTCAGGCGCATCAGTGAGTCCGGCATCAAGAAAATGTGTAGGAACATTTTTGTTCTTCAGCAGAATTTGACCAACATCACCATGTCGCGGGAGGCGGACTTGGACTTTGCAAGGTAGGAGGGAAGATTGGGCTTCATTTATGCCAAAGCCAAGACCATGTTGCCTTTAAAGTCACTTTTGAAGATGGATTTTGGGTACTTAAATTGGTTTAATTTAAGAAAGAAAGAAAGAGATAAATGTTCTTCAGTCACAGAGAAGGTAATTCTACAAAATTCTATTGAGTGTTTGACATTACTTAGGCAGGTAGTTTTTCCTATTGTGTACCTAAGTTCTTACTATAAAACTTCAGTAATTTTTTTGTGACTATAAAAGTGTATACATTTATTCCATAAAATATGAATGATAAAATACAAAGAAGAATATACACATTACTCATCAATCTTTGATCTAGAAACTCTGATGTTTGGCTTTCTCCCAGCTTTTGTGCCTGTGCTATCTGTGTGTGTATAATTTTTCAGACATATACCTGTATGTGCATATGATTTCTCCTTTTGTAAAATTGGAGCTATATTAACAATTTTATATGAATTCAATTATTTTTTCTTATCAGCGAAAATGATACAATGTCCGCAAAAATTTTCAATATTTCTTTGAAAACATATGATTTTTACCATCTCCATTAATAGTCCACATGACTTTTAATGCCTGAACAATTATTTCATGATATACATGAGCCATAATTTATTTTTTAAATCACATGCGAATTTTGGGACATTTGAATTTTTTTCACATTTTTTTCTTCATTGTAAATGACGAACATTGAGCGCGTTTTTACGTATATTTCCTCATCTCTTCTCTCTTGTTCCCACTGAATCCTGTCTCCCCTTCTCATTTCCTCTGGGAGGAACATGGGACTCATCAGTATCCTTTCCCTTTTCTAAGTTTGCTGATCTCAATCTTTCATGTTTCCCTGTAATATAACTTTTTCAAATTTGAGAGTTAATTTTGTCTTCTCTTCTTTTAGTCTTAACTTAAAACATCAAACCTCTAGCACTTTCATAAAAGCTTAAACAATTTCCAAGGGGACAGATGATGATCACAGTGTCCCCATGGTCTACTGCTGTTTATACATATGTGGATTCTCCCATAAACTCCTTCATTTTCCAACAGAAGTCTTTATGGCTAGGAAGTCATTTGTTTTTAATAACCTAGAATTTTCCTATTTAATATTTAGTGCTTCTATGATCTTTCTCTTGATTTTTTGATTCCTTGCGAAGTTAGGAAAATTTGAGACAGTTCTTGGACATTTAAAGGAATGATGAAATATTATACACTATGATCATTGTTTTGAAAATAAACTATGTATGTTTATTTTTAACCTTTCTTCCCAAATCTGTTATTCCATTTGTTCCATTGCTTTCTTCTTCCTCTGCTTTTCTATCCTTCTCTTTCCTTGTTTTTTTCTTCCTGTTTGCAGGAAAGTGTGTGTGGGGGTGTGTGTTTGTGTTTTTGTTAAATTCCCATTTTAGGCTAAATTTGGTGGAAAGCCTTCCTTGCTCAGATTAGGGAAGCCAGGTGTGACTGAATGCTGCATTTATTTGGTCGCTCTTATGGGGAATGATCTCATTATTGAATTAGTCTAGTCATAATAACATTGACAAGGGGAAGTTAAGAACACGGAGGCCTGAGGGATACAGAGAACTGTTACAAATTCTCTGAGGAATATAATTCCTAAATTCAATCATCCTTTTTTAAATGATTTTTTTTTATTTAGCTGAAATAAGTAACACAATTTTTGGCAGCCAGTATGGGGCCTGAACACGTACTGAAAACAGTGGCATCTGAACGATGTAATGCTGACAGAGCAGTATTGAGGGTGGCATCAGTAGATCGGGTGCTGATGAAGCGTTTCTTCAGGAAATAATTGAATGGCAACGAGTCATGCCTTTCACAGTTGAATTGGTGAATTATGTTCAAGGAAGTAAGTGGAAGTGGAATGTCACCCCTTGGGAGGGGTTCTGCTACTATGGCTCTTTACTCTTACATGGATTTTGAGCGGAAATAGGCCAGCAGAAGTAGACATCCTTGAATGATTCTGCCTATCTGACCCTGGCTCAGAAGACATCTCCTGACTAGCTTGTAAGCTCCAAGAGGCTGAAACGTTGTCTCTCAGAGGCCGGGCCAGAGGAAGTGCTCATTATGTGTACTGAACAAACGAATAGATCCCAAATCAAGGCCCGTTTTGGTGTTGATGAAGGGCTTGCATAATGACAAGTTGGTTTATCTTTAGTTCCCTGAAGGTTTTGACCAGCTGACATGGGTCAGTTTCTCAGGGGCTTATGAGAAACAGCATCTGCCTTGCAGTTTATTCTTTGTGACAGAAAGCATTGCAGTTAAGAAGGAATAATGAAGCCTTGCTATTCATCGTCCCTGTCTCTCTCATTTTCTCTTGCTCTTACATAGACACATTTTATAGCCTTATTTTTTTCCCCTTCTTGTTTTTGGTCGGGGCAGGTTTTGCAAAATGGGCTCTATCAATTCTATCAAATTTGAAGCTATGTAAAATAAATATAACAGCAATACCAAAATAGCCAGAAATAATAGGCTGCAGCAGTGTGCCTCAGCATTCCTTAAGCAATGTCTAATCAAGCATGGGCAGCATCTGTATTTCCAGCAAATCTCCATAGGAATGTTATCTTCTAACACAGTAATTAATCACTAGTTGCCACGTGTCAGAAAACTTACTTAACAAGAAGTTGCAAAACACTTGTAGTATTTTACTTCTGCAACCTTCCTGGCTAGTGGAAAGTATCACACCTTTATGTAACAGAGAAATAGAAATCTGGAGTGATCCGTTTCTATTGAGTTTTCTACCCGGGCCTTGTTGTCTCTCTCTTTATGTACACATTTCCTCCAACTAGTCCCTGAGAGGAGGGTAAATCTTGGGTGAGCAAAGGACACAGACAAACTGTAACATTACCAGAAGCCCAGAGAGCCCTTGTCCTCATGGTCACAATCACTTAAGCTCTACTATGGTTTTGACCCTTTTGACCTCACTGTTAATTGTCAGACAAAAAGACACTTTGTCCAGTAGAATCATTGGCGATGAACGAGAAAGTAGATGGGCTTTGCAAGCGTGCTTTTTTAGTTCCTTTCATCACAGATCATCTTGAGCTGTCATGTGTCTTTCCCAAAGTGAGTTGCTGAAGCCCCCTAGGAGTCCAGGTGGTGAGTGCATAACAAGAGGGGTCTGTATATTCAAGCATTGAAGTCCCATGGCGCATCTGGCAATCTTTATATATTAGTTGAAGTGAGGCCATTATTCCAAAAGAATTTTCCAGAGTTTCTTCTCAGTTCTCCCTGTCTACCTCGCTTTCCCTTTGTATCTGTCTCCATCATTTCAGGCGCCTCTCTTTTATCCTTTATTTCTCTTATTCCCCTACTTCCTGCTTTCCTCCCTCAAGATTTCATGGTTCCTTAAGTTGTTCCCCTTCATTCTGGTCTTCTTCAGACGGCTGTCTCGCATTATTAAATCTGACAAGGTAAGGAAATGAAAACTAAGGTTCAGAAAGGGGTCAAGAGAAAAGTTCTAACACATATGACAGCTTCCTCACCCTTCGATGCTTTCATTCCTTCAACAAATATTTACTGAGTGTGGGTTCTAAGTCCTGCTCTCCTATCATAGAATTCGCATTATTTGGGGCAAGACACAAACTAAAAAATGAGTAAATATAAAGTATGTCAGATGATGATATATGATATGGTAAAAAACTAGGCACGGGATGAGAATAGAGGGTGCCAGGAAGTATTGGAGGTGATCTGAAATTTTAGAGTGTTCATGGAAGTCCTTAGTGAGATATTAACATTAGAGGAAAAACCTAAGGAAGCGTGGAAGCAAGCCATGTGGATATGTAGGGAAAGAGCACACATACTAGGAAAGGGAACCTAAGGGGACTTCAGGGGAAGGGCCCACAGGGAGGACTATGCTTGACATTTTGTAAACAGCAGAAAGGCCATTAGGGATGAAGTGGAAAAGAATAAGAGATCAAGGATCTCGAAGGCTACTGTAATGACAATGACTTTTACTTTGGGTGGAGTATGAAACTATTCATGTGTTTAGAGCACAAGAGCACCATGAACTGAGTTACCCTGGCAGCTCGGTTGAAAATAAGCAGACCCTAGGCAAGGGAAGAAACAGGAGGACCTGTTAGAAACCTATGGCAATAATCTTCTGGATGAAAGATAGATGTGACATAAAGTAAGATGGTAACAGTGAGGAAGATGAGATATGGCCACATTAGAATATATTTTAAAAGGAGAGTGACTAGGATTTGCTGAGGGATTAGAAGTGAACCAATGACTCTAAAGTTTTTGTTCTGGGTAATTCAAAGCATGGAGTGAAAATGAGATGAAAATGAACCAGATCAGGGTACAGGCCTGTTGAGTGTGTAGAGAGGAGAGGGTCGATAGCAAGGGAATACCAAAAGTTTGGGTTGAAATGTTAGGTTTAAGATGCCTATTAGATGTCTGAATAGAGATAAAAAGGAAAGAATCTATGTAAACCTAGACTTCAGAAGAGAGGTCTGGGCTGAAGGGAAGAGTTTGAGAATCATTGGCATATGGATGAGATTTAAAGTCATGAGAAAAGGTAGGAGGCGAGATCAAGATAGGAGCACAACAGAGAAAAAAAGAGAAGCTTTCCAAGAATTGGGCCCTGGGACCCTCTGTTGAGATACTGAAGTGCTGAAGAACCAGCAGAGGAAGTAGATGACCCCAATAAATAGGAAGATAACTGGGAGAGGGTTGTGTCCTGGAGGTCAAGTGAAGTGTTTCAGAGGAGGTTGTTTTCATCTGTGTCAAATGTTGCTGCTAGATTAAATTAGCTCAAGACAGAGAACTGCCTCCTGGTGGGCTTCACAAAAGGCCTGAAATGCTTTGGTTTATAGTCCTTTGTCTTCCTACACAATTTACCTAAACTAAGAACAAGCTTCAAATGTGTGTCTCTGGGAAGAGGCATCTCACCCAATTCTATGGTAGAGCCTAATGTAATCAGGGTAGACATAAATTTAGTAAGAGTGTTTCCTAAGCAATGTACAAAAGACCAAATTGTGCA